ATTTTAAAACAAGTATTTAAGTTAACTATTAATATATATTATTTATTATCAATAAATAATATATTATGATAATGATTGATATATTATTATATATTAATAAATAATGTATTAACAATAATCAATTATTATCAATATGGATATTTATCAAAGATCATTAGAATTATTAATTAATATCAATATTTTAGAGAAATATTTATTAATTTTTACAGATATAGTGATAATTCTTGATAAATATCTCTCCAAAAAATTTTCTGATGAATTCAAATAGATAAAGAATAAAATTCACTTGTAAATTAATGAGAATGAATAATAATTATAATTTGAGTCAAATAAATATTAATTGATCATCTAATAAAATTGCCAACTACTTGATATAACAGAGTACTATATAGCTTATTATGATATTTATTATATCATGAAAAACTTAATATAACAGATCTCTTGATATAATAGAGAAAAGAATCAGAATTGTAGTTTCTGTTATATCAAGTTTCATTATATATTATCAAATTTATTTAAAAAAATTTGATTTATCAGAAAATAAAAAGTAATTTTCACTTTAAAGAATATTTATATTTTAGAAATGTGTCATTTATTATATAACTTTTATTATGAATACATAAATAAGATAATTACCATATTCTATATAATTGAATTTTTATATTAATAATATATAATCACTACTAATTGAAAGAAATTATATAATAAATGACATATACTTATAAACTCTTGAGTAATTTGCTTTGAATTTTGTGATAATTTCAGAACAAATTTTCTTTATGTAAATTTAATTAATTTTATTGCATTTTTTTATATAATGAATCTAGCAAAGATAAAAAAAATTAATAATCTAATTATAAATTGCATTTCAGTTCAGAAATAAACCAAACTAGAATCAAATCATTCTTTTCGATTCTTTTTGATTTGATTTGTTCTAATTTTCTTAAAGCCAGAATAAAGTGAAATTTTTGGTTCAGAATTGGAACCAATCAAAATTTCAATTCAGTTTGATTTTATTTTTTCTTGGAATTAGTTTCAATTCTAACAAAGAACTGAATCAAATCATTCGGAATCTTAAAATGCATCTAATAATTCATTAATTTGTGATAAAAGATATTTAATCTTTTATTTAGTTGATATAGAGATGAAACTTCACATTTTCTTTTTTATGAGAACAATGGAAGATAAGCATGAATTTTTTAAGAGAAAAATATTAAAATCCTTCATTATTTTATCAATTTTGTTTTGTAGAAATTTGTTCTTCAATGTAATCGGTTATTCAATTGTTAAATATTTTTTGTTGGATAATTTTTGTTCTGCCAGGTTTTTATAAATTTGTAATCTCGGAAGCATATTTTAAAAGTGATTTATTAGTGATATGCTCTTTTTTAATAACTTTAACGTTAATACATATTCGATCAGAAACGATCTGCATACTTCTGTAAGATTTGATTGGTCCAGTTAACGTGTGACACTAGAACATGCAAGATCAAGCGTGAAATTCGTGCAACTAAGAACGGATCCTGGAGGTTAGGGTATCTTAATATTTCGACTCAGTTGTGAGAATCGAGTTTAAAGTCTATCATTCGAATCTCTAGATTCTGTTGAATCGAATGGTAGATCTTATATTCAATTCCCGCCGCTAGGTCTCGAGGTATTGAGCTTCAAAGAGGCCGTACGTGGAATTCTGATTTATTTTTGATGAACATTTATATACAGCTTCTTTGGACTCAATATCTCGAGACCCAGTGACGGGAAACGAGTAAAGCTGATCATTCGATTCCCTAGATTCTGATGAATCAAATGGCGGGCCTTACATTTGATTTCTGCCACCGGATCTCGAGATATTGACCCAAGGAGGCCGTACATGAAATTACTCATTGTTACGGATTTCATTATTTTGTACAAATATTAATTGCGAACTTTTACACCAATTACAAAGAATGCATCAATTTTACAATTTTTAAGTCAAAAAGTTGCAACCTCTCAACTTTATTAAACCTATTACGGCATGTAACACTAAACACCATGACTAATTCATTCGCTACTTTCGACATCCATAGAGACATCAGCCGATGTATTATAAGAGGCGGTGCTTTTACTATAAATATAATGATCGGTTATTATATAAAAGCTAGAGATAAAAGTTAAATTTATTGTTCCTACCCTTTTTTATCAACTTTTCTCATCTTTTGATGTGATTTCGACCCTATGCCCGGATTACGTCCTTCTAAATATCGCAGTCTTGTTTCTATCAATGTACGATAACTTCGACCAGCCTCTGCTGTGTTATCTTTTTCTTCGCCTAAAGCATCAATACGTGATGCAAGAGAAGTTTTAGTCGCTAATATCCTTGCCACCTAATTTTTTGAAAATTGAGATTATTGTAAATTACTTTGCAAAAATATTATAACAATAATGTAAAAAACATTTTTTTACCTTGCCCTTATTTTTCTGTGCTGCCTGACCAACCAAACTAGCGTGATATATTAATCCATATTTCGGGGTATCGTGTTTTGTTTTTAATGCTCGAAAGAGAGCCTTCTCGGCCCCAAGGATTTGAACAGTACTTGCCGGTGCTTTGGCTAGACTCATCAAACTCCCAGCGTGAGCTATTAGTCGTGCACCCACTAAATCTCCAACAAGTGTCGTTAGATTAGGTGCAATTGCCGACATGCGATTTTGTAAGTATTGGAAGAGCTCTGCTCGATATTCACTAAGACTGACAACCTGATCACATGCGAATTTGATATTTAATATATCGTCCTCAGCTATTTCGGTACCCATTGATATTTCTGCTGCTTCTTTCAAATCTTTCTCTATATCTTCAGGCAGAATATCAGAAAAATCGGTTTTCCGTGCATTGGAGCGGAACCCTATATCAAAAATCAGTTAACTATTAGATTTTCATAATTATCTATCATTTGTGGTAAATCATACTCACCCATCTTGTGTACTACTTTAGCGTAAGCTAAATTATCCACAACGATTCGACTCATCTCTGGAAAATGCCATCCATACCATTCTTTAACTCTCATCGAGTATGTGTTCAACTCTTTATCCAGATCATCCAATAATCCAATCGCTTGGATGATCATTGTGTCAACTTTATCCGGTGAGAATTTGAGTTTATATCGTGAAAGGGAGTGTGACAAGCCTAAAGCCATTGACGACATATCATTCGAATTGACATCCGATATCAGGGCGTCAAGCTGTTGACGTATACCACGGTATAGATCGAGAATGGTAGAGTCAGAGACAACTTTGATGCCAAGTTTTTTGTTGATAGCAGCACCTGGTAATGATTAACAAAATAATCATTATGTAATGGATTCATGATAAGAAGAGCCTGAGAATGTGATAATGAAACTATCATTAACCTAATTTTTGATCAGCAACAGCTAATTGTTCGCTCTGAAGTGAAGTCTCATCAATCGAATCTCTTAAAAATTTTCTTAAGTCTTTTGAAAGTTTTCCTTCTAGTATAGCTGTAACTGAGGAAACTGCGTCATTCATATTTTCAAACTTTTGGAATGCCTTAAGTTTAACCCTATGAAAAGGCAAAAATGTGAATATATTTGATATTAAAAAGGGCTTGAATCTAAAATGTCTTACACTCGATTAGCAGCTTCTGGTGTTTCAAAATCACGCCATAGTTGCTCAGGGTTTGCCAGTTTGCCGTCGTCAAGTAATTTGAATAGCGCAAAGCCGGCGGCCGTTTCAAATAAAACTAGCATTATGTATGTTAATTATATTATAGTATGTTAAAAGCAAAACGGAGAATAGAAAAACGGTCTTGGGAAATTTTTATCAGTCGCGCAAAAAATTTTGAATTAGATGAATTAGATCAATAATTTTGACCAATCAGAGAATTATATAATTTTAACACCACCACCATTAACGTTTAATCATAAATATAAAATATAACGATATGTTACAAATAAAATTAGCTATTCTAAGGTATTACTATTAATTATTAAGATTATTTTCTCACATAAAATCATCAAACTCGTCATCTAAATTGGTATAATCTGTTGTGTCGCTTTTCTCAGTTGCAAGGAAAGGCTTCTTGCCTAATTGATTAAAAAAAATTAAATCAATTTTTTCGACATTTTTTTGTTAAATCATCAAAATTATTTTTTATACCTTTCTTTTTTGGTTTATTACTTTCTTTTAGCGCCTTTGCCTTTTCGTTGGCCAATGCCGCCAAAGTACTAGAAGCTTTACGTACATCAATATCTTTGAGTGGGAAACAAAGTTCTCGAAAAAGGTTGATTAGAAACGTTGGATAATAGCCTTGTTTCTAATAGATATAATAAACAATTTATTGAAATTAATGATTTATAAACAATGAAATTTTTTAGTGAGATTAGAAAAAAAAATAGACCTCATGCTTTCTAATCCTTGCAATTAATAATTGTGAGAACTCTTCGAACTCCTCTTTATTTTTTGGATCAATCGTGTCCAGAGTTACCTGTCCAGCTGTTTATATATATATATATATGTATATGTATTATATAGTAGGTATTATATGTTGAGATTACTGAAATATGAATAAGATGAAAATATGTGAGGTAAATAACAAAGTACAAATGTATCCTTTTGGTAATAAGTTAATTGACCTCGAAGATCTTCAAGATCCACCCCAAATGCATTTGCCGTGTTCTCAAGATCAGCGTCGACTTGTAATTGACGAAGCAGATTTTTCTTTTGAACTGGGTCTTCTTCCTCCTCGTATTGTTTTTGTTGCTTTTTCTATTTACAATTAATCATAAGATCATCATGAGAGAATTGAATTCATACTTTTCATTATATACTCAGTTATAATAATATATGTGTTATTTCACCAATTTGTCATTTTCCTTGTTTCTTGCTTCTCGTTCCGCTATTTTTTGACTTAATGGACTTTTCTTTTTTGCTGGTTCCGCTTGAGTTTTTGTTTCTACTTTTTTTTCTTGTTCTTCCTCAGATTCGTCCCATGCTTCCTTTTAGCGTGAAAAGTATGAGAATTCACTATTTTTCAAAAGCCAATAAACTGATAATCACCATACTTTGATTTGGCCGTCATCCTTGTCTTCGTCGTCCCATTTTCTAGTGGTAGGAAGAGCAAGTGGTACAGGAAGCTCATCCGAACTCTGATCCTCTAAAATTTTATTAAAGTAAAGAGTATCCTAAACATGATCAAAAGAAAATTACACGCGGCTCAGGATGATAATGCTTACCCCAATCTTCTGCCATTCTTCTTGGTCTTTTGAAAAAAGATGAAAAATGAGTTTGGATAAATCGAATATTCGAGAACACTGTAGTTTTTATGATGCCATTATGTGATACTTAAAAAACCAACGTGATTAACGTTATTTAGATCAGAATAGATTTAGATGTTGTGTACCCCATAATGATAAGTTGTTTAAAAATTGTAATATTTATTAACTTTAATTGTGCTAGAATCAATTAGGATAATTTTCTATATAATACAATAAAGAATAAAATTTTAAAAATAAGCTCTTAATTCCACTGACAATGTTATATAATAATGCTAACTTAACAAATCTACCACCAAAATTTCATTCCATTCTAAGAATTTATTTTTCATTGTTAACTATCGCTATGCTTTAGGACTGACCTGCACCACCAATACGACTACCACTTGCTCTAACTATACTATTTGTTCTTCTTACTTCAGCCATAACTAGTTGAAAGATGTAATAAGTTTCGTTGAATGGATGCTGCATAACACCATGAATGGCATGCCTTCCGGAACTGTTGTCATTTAGACATTGCATATTAGACCCGGTTATTATCTGTGCCAACTCCCCCTATTGTAAAAAAATATAATTAATAAAATTAAGAAGTAATGGATATCAATATTTATTTAAATTTATTTTGGGTACTTACCGTTTGGACGTGTCGTACCTCAATAAATTGAGGATCAAAACCGATCACATAAGGGTATTGCATTGCTAATAATGAAAATCAATAAATATTAATGTTATTTATTATACTTGTATGAATTACAAGAAGTGAAAAGGACTAACCAACTGCTGTGGGTTTTCCTTCCCATTCTACAGTTTTTTGCCGAGACAATTCACCGTGTTTATCCACATAGAAAAAGATTTCTACAAAAAAAATGAATATTATTTATCGCTGCTATAATCAAATAATATATATATTCATATAGAAACTCACCATCATAACATAACAGAAATTCATTGTCCCCTAGACGGAACATGCCTAGCGGTTTGGAATTTTCACATTTTCGTGCAATTTTTTCGAATTGCGGGCTCGCAAAATCCGGTATTGTTCCATTTTGCAAAGTTTCTAGATTGACAATTTCGAAGCCACGAGTGCAAACAACGCACAATTTCGAGCGCAAAAAATTTATTGAATACGATTCAGAGGGTATATAGAATTGCTGCAGAAACAAATAAATAAATATAAGTTAACGCAACATCAATAATTAAAAAAAAAATGAAAGGCAATAATTACAAACTCACTTTATATTCTTTAAACCAATCATTTTTTGCCAGTCCAAACCGGCGGGATCCAAATCCACCTAATCCTCGACTCCTTTCATTACTATTTGCAGCGACAATCGGTTCTAGAACTTTGAAATGGCTTTCTAGACTTCGCTTTTTCAGGTAAATCAGTAGTGTCTTATCTTTTATGGTGCCAACGCTAAAATACTGGACATTGGCGTTATTACTCAGTCGCTGAGGATGCTTCGATGCCTGAGATCCTGAAGCCTGAGGATTATTCGATGAAGGTATCATTACTTCGAGTGAATATGCCAAAAGTAATTTATCTATATATGAGAAAAGTTTAAGTTATAGAATAGTTAGAAATACATTCTAAAGATTGATATGTAACTCAATTATTAATAACTACCTGCTAATACAACAAATATAGCGTAATCTTCCAACACGGCCATTTGCATTACATTACTGAGTCTTAAAACATGCCGGAATGTTTTAGTCTCACCACCAAATCCCATCCAGACGCCATCGTCAGTACCAATTGCCACCATGTTACGCTTTTCCGGGGTAACTAATAATTTAAAGTTGCATTTTTTTAGCTTCATGAAAATTTATAGTAAAACCCAACTCTATTGTTTCGATGTCTCTACTAACCAAATGGCACTGAACAATTTACTTTTCCTTTCCATGCTGCTGTAGGTCCACCGTTAAAATTTATAGCAGGACTAGAGGCAAAATTTGCATCATCGAGGGTAAACAGTTCAAATACTTGTTGATGTGATTTGCTAAGCTGAAGTTTAGTTTGTGCTTCAATTATTTTATCTTTCCAAATTTTTCGCGTATTGGCTGAATCCGCAAATAATTGGAATGATCCACCGTTTTTACCAAGATGGATAATGGTGAATGGATACAAGGATTTTTGATGTAAAAGATTGTCGGGATTTTCAAATTGATTTTCTAAAAGTGGAACTCCAGGTATTCCACCAACAATAGTGTTACTTTTCCCTTTACGAGGGTCAATAAGTTTAAATGTTCTTAATTGTGATTGTTCCGGGGAAGTATCTACCTTTAGCATCTCCAATGGAATAATCTAACCAATGATAAATTTACTTTACTAATGTCGTAAAGAATAACAGGAAGCAAAAAACAATTTATTATACCTTTTTTGATATTTGATACTTGATTTCTCCATCATTTCCTTTTCTTGGTTTTGTCATCACAAAATAATGATCAAATAGAAAAACATAAAGTTCAAGCCATTCCAAACGTCTCTTTTTTAATTCCCCTTTGAAAACTAATGTTCGATTAGGATCTAGAAGTCTTAACTCCGGCTAATATAGAGCAAAGCACAATGAATGAATTAATGATCATAATTATCTTTAAAAACTAACAGTAATTCAACAGTCAAAATATTTACACAAATCTCTCCGTTCTTTTTTACAAGTTTACGTTCAAGCTCCATTATTTTTAATCGCTTTTCTGCTTCGTGCACTTTCGTATCGCTTTCCCGGCATAACTCCTTAATAGTTTGCCAAGCATTTTCCAATACTTCTCTATCAGGATTATCTTTAGGCGTGTATTTGATGACTTGCTCAAGTAACAAAGTGTAACGTTGTAAACGTTGCGTAGGACGTTGCACAAAATGCCGGAAATCAAGCTTTCGTGCCTCCGGTCTTCTGGAGCATGACTATAATTAAATATGAAAATATAGTAAATTGATGTTAGATATTATCGATGGTAGATATTGATATTTATTGTCACAATTAACTGACGATAAAATACAATAATTTCTTTGCACATCAACATCACAAAAAGAATAACAATTGATTTATTGGTAATACCTCCAAAAAGCTCCTGAATTCGGGATTTTTATTTTTCATGTCTTTAATATAAGCGTCAGCTAGCGGAAAATGTCCATTATACAAAATATAATCGTTTCCAAAATCTAATGCACATTCCAAAAATATATCTCCAATTTTTTCTACGATGTACCCCTCTCGCTGCCTTTCTCGTAGTTTTTCTAGCATGCGTTTGTTGTGCTTGCGTATTTCAAAAACATTGAAAAATACATCTTGAATAAAAGCTTCAAAACGAACTTGTGGAATAATTGGCGGTGAAGCTTTACGGAGGCCCTTTACGTATAGCTATATTAATGTAAATTTTTAGCGAACAGAAAATTAAAAAACTTAATTTCTAAGAATTATTTTGAAGCACTGACAAAATTAATACCTCTTCTAACAAGTCTAAATCTGTGACATAATCCTCTTCGGTATAAATTGTTTCATAAATAATTTCCTGTCTTTTTCTCTCATCTTTATCTATTTTATCAGATATTTCTTTGGGCACAGAGCCAATCCAAGTGCGTTCTTGGGGTCGTGTCACCAGCGTCTTAATTGTTATACAGAGAATACAATCATATTATAAACATTTGCTTTAAGCTAGAAGATGGCTTTTAATTAATACTTACAGAGGTATCTGAAATCTCGGATGTTACACTTAGTTGCCTATTTAATGTAACTTCGGAACGAATCTCTACCTCCTCCTAAAATATAAATAAATTAACAAAACTTAAAACATAAAATATAAAAATTAAAAAAAATCTTACCTCTGATGGAGTATAATTCAGACAAGTCCTTGAATAACACCCTTTACCATCAACACCACATCGAGAACTATAGCATTTCCCAACACTAGGAAAAACACCAGTTGGAAAATCTTCATCCCATTCCAATGCAGTTGGTGTACCAGGGCTTGGATTAAGAAAAGTATATACTTCATCTTGGGTATCCTTTATAACACTACTTATCGACCAATCAACCGAATGAAAATATAATTGTGCTTCTAAGGATCGTGCCATATTTAATGCGATGCGTCGTGGAGTAGATGGGGGCAAAAGTGAGTGTATTGTCGACTAAAGTGAAAAAGATAAGAGAAATGGAGGATGGATAATAAAGAGTATAGTTAAAAAAGCTAAAAATAGAGTAGTAATTCTAACCTTAATAAATCTAAAAACGACAATTTATAAAAAAAATATTGAGCAAAAAAAAATGATAATTGAAAGAATCGAGAATAAAGGAATAAATATAAATGATCGCTTCATACCACTGCATCTGCCCCAGTAAAACTTTCTGGATACTCCAAAGCACCATTTTCATGAGTTCCTAGTTTAACGGTTGCTCGAAAAGCTAAAGCGATATTAGAAAGCAAAGCATGATTCATCATTCCATTTAGCGTATGGGATAGAGGCACTTTATTTGTGGATGATAAATCTTCTGAATAATATATCGGTTCTTTTCCGGACGGATAATTCATTGATGCTGGTCGAGTAAGATTAGATTGAACAGATATTCCCTCACCACTGTCAATCAATATTGTTAGTAAAAATTTTTACATTAAGATTCTTTTGTTATTAATAATCACCTGTCAGCTGGGTAAGCATCATACGGTAATGCTGCTGATTGACCGGTTGATTGCGTAGGATACTCTACATTTGGGCTATTAATATTGGTTGTCCCCCCAATATGTATTGGCGGTGGAATTGGTTTATGAGAATTATTATGTGTAGAATCAGTTTCTGATATAACAACAGGAGTCGAAGAGGAGGAGGGATCAACATATGTAGTAAAATCAGGCATGATAACTTTTTGAGGTATATTATATTGTGATGTTGAAGTTGATGACGGTACAACAGTTCCATTATTTGGGATGGAATGATACTGAGCTCCTGCAATAGAGCTGTAATAATTATAAGGATTCATATATGTTATCGGTGCATTCGAATATGGTGTAGTGGTGCCGGGCGGTCTTGGTAATGGCCTTGAACCTACATTTGAGTATGCTTGAGAGTTTGATAGCCACCCTTGCGATGTCAAATCTTGAGGATATGAAGGATAATAAGTAGGATGATAATTTTGGGAATTGTGATATTGTTGATATGGAAAATAATGTTGTGCATAGTATTGTTGCTGTAATGCAGTATAAGTTTGAGGCGTTGGATTATTATAAGGCTGAGGGAAACCATTGTATGGTTGAGGTAGACCACTCGAGGTATTATTATTATTATATGATAAAGCAGGCATTTGTGAAATTTGAGAACTCTGCGAAGAGGTTCGATTTGTTGTCGTAGATTGTAGGTCAATAGCATTAGATATATTATTATTTGATAGATTCGTATAATTTGAAGCTGGAACTCTATTGTTTTGTTGATCCCAAGTCCTGCCTTGTGGGATAGAACCATTCAAATTCTGGTGGGTAAAGGCGGCCAAATCTGTATCAATCAAATTTAGCAATTGGTCAATGTCGGCGCCAGCAGCGCCGTCTTGTCCACTGCGGTCAGCACTGCTAATTGCATCGTGCGAAGTTGACATTATTACTATTATTGAGCACAGTTGAAGAATTTATTTAAGGTAGACCAAAAGATCTTATACACTTGATTTTGGTGATTTATTATTTTTATTGGATACCTTACCACTTGATATTTATATAAATAAATACCGATGTTAAAAGAAACTTCCGAATTTATTTTCGTATTACATACTCAATGGACAACGCATCGGGGTAGCGATAGTAAAAATTGAAATTTTCTCTATATTAAAATTTATAATTTTATTAAAAAATAATTTTTATTTTTAATATTAAAATAAAGTAGTTTGACATATATTTTTTTCTGAAAGAGTTATTCTAATTGTAAAGTTAGTGCTTAATAAAAATTTTTGCACTAACTTTACAATTAGAACAACTCTTTCAGAAAAAAATCTGAAAAAAATATATGTCAAACTACAACTAATGAACTTTATTTTAATATAAAAATAAAAAATTATTCTTAATAAAATTATAAATTTTAATATAAAGAGAAAATTTCAATTTTTACTATATTTATTAAGAAATTTAGTCCCTGATGCATTACTTTTGGTTATTACTATATATAAGAATAAATCAAATTAATTTAAATTTTCTTGTCTTATATCAATCAAATAAATTTTCTTATCTTATTATACCAATCAAATAAATAAAATTATAATTTTATTAAATATATTAATTAATAAATATAAATAAAAGAAGTAATAAATAAAATAAAATTAAAGATATATTATATAATAATAAATAATCAATTAATAAAAAATCTTTATATTATTTTAAATCAAATAAATAAAATTAGCAATAGATTTTTTAATAACAAATATATATATAAACTTAAATAATATTTTATTAATAATTATTTTTTAATATTTACTTATTAAATTAATAAATAATTAAAAAAATATTAATTAATAAAAAAAGAAAATATAAATAATAATTAAAAAATATCTATTATTAATTATTTTTTATATAAAGAAATTATTATTTAAGATAAAATAATTAATAAAGATAAATTAATAAATATTTTTAAATTAATTAATATTAGTTTAATTAAAAATTATAAAATTATTTCAATTTAAAAATATTTTTTTAAAAGAATTAATTAAATATTTTCTTATTAAAATTATTAATTCAATATAAAATTGATTATTATTTATTAATTATTATTAATAATAATTGGTTTTTTGAATTATTAATTAGAATTAATTTTTTTAATTATTAATTTTTAATTAATTAAATTAATTCTTATTATTTATATTAATAATTAATAATAATTAATAAAAATTAATTATTAATAATACATTTTATTTTTTAATTAAAATAATACTTTTATTTTTTTATAATATATAATAATTTATAATTATATTAAAATATATATAATTTAATTATATCTTAAAAAGTTTATTATTTTTTACTTTTATATTTAAAATTTAAAATTTTATTTTTATTTATTTATTTTTGTTCTTATTTTGAAATTTATTAATTTTATTTTGATTTCTTATCTAATATTAAATATATTAAGTTAATTATTAAATTATTTTTCTTAAAATCTTTTTATAATTAAATTAATTAAAATTAATATTTAATAAAATTATATATATTAACTATTAACAAAATCTTATAATATATTTTTATTAATAATTATTTTTTTTAATAAGAATATTATAATAAATATATATATATATAATATATGATATAAAGATAATAGCTATAATTATTATGCTATAATATTTATATTGCAACTATATATTGCAATTTATTAAAAAATTTAATAAAAATCACAACTTGTCATAACTTATACTGCATTACAGCAACAATACTATGCACAAC